AAGGTGTGTATATATATATATATACACTGTGTGTATGTGTGTGTATATATATATATATATATATATATGTATACTTTTTTTTTTGAGACAGAGTATCACTGCGTTGCCCAGGCTGGAGTGCAGTAGCACACATATATGTACATGTGTGTATATATATATGTATATAATTTTATATGAAAGACGGAAATAAATGGGTGCCTTTATTCAACAAATATTTATTGAGCACGTACTCTATGCCAGGCACTCTTCTAGGTGCTAGGGTTGCAGCAAGGTTTGTCTTGTTTTCACAAGACAGGCAGAGATCCCTGCCCTTAACAACATGTAAGATAAACATGCAAAACACCTGATGTTAGATGGAGAGATAAATCCCCTGAAGGAAAGTAAAGCAGGGACAGTGACATTTAGGAGTGATGATATTACAACAATTTAAAATAAGTTGGTCAGGGGAGATTCACTGAAAAGTCCTATTTAAGTGAAAACTTAAAGGAGGTGAGGAATTGAAGCAGGCTGGTATCTCGGGAAGTTGTGGGCAAAGGGAATAGGAAATGCAAAGGCCCTAAGATGGGGAAACAGCAAAGAGTCAGGTGTAGGCAGAGCAGAAAGTAGGAGCTGCATGAGTGAAAGGCAGGGCCCGGCCCACATCTTGTAGAGCTTTATAACACAACCACAACAATATCCAAGCGTGCAATTTAACGCCTTTTTTTTTTTTTTTTTTGAGACGGAGTTTCGCTCTTGTTACCCAGGCTGGAGTGCAATGGCCTGATCTCGGCTCACCGCAACCTCCGCCTCCTGGGTTCAGGCAATTCTCCTCCCTCAGCCTCCTGAGTAGCTGGGATTACAGGCACGTGCCACTATGCCCAGCTAATTTTTTGTATTTTTAGTAGAGACGGGGTTTCACCATGTTGACCAGGATGGTCTCCATCTTTTGATCTCGTGATCCACCTGCCTCGGCCTCCCAAAGTGCTGGGATTACAGGCTTGAGCCACCGCACCTGGCCTGCAATTTAACATTTTATTCAACATTCTATGGCAAAGAAAAATTGACTGCTACCAAAATGGTAGTTTCTGACCTTCAGGTTCCCTATGTAGAATTCTGTAAGTTGTAATACACTTTACTAAACATAATCAGAAAAAGACTAACAAATTCTGTTTAGTAACTCCAATTCTGACAGTTCTCATGTCTGGGCTAGAATAAGGGTATCACAATGGCAGAACAGATGTTTTCTTTTTTTTTAATTGAGGTGGAGTCTTGCTCTGTCGCCAGGCTGGAGTGCAGTATCGCGATCTTGGCTCACTGCAACCTCCACCTCCTGGGTTCAAGCAATTCTCCTGCCTCAGCCTCCCAAGTAGCTGGGACTACAGGCAGGCACCACCACACCTGGCTAATTTTTTGTACTGTTAGTAGAGACAGGGTTTCACCATGTTGGCCAAGGTGATCTTGATCTCTTGACCTCGTGATCTGCCTGCCTTGGCCTCCCAAAGTGCTGGGATTACAGGTGTGAGCCACCGCGCCCGGCCAGTGTTTTCTATTTTCTTTGTAGGATTTTCTTTTTTCAGAGGAAAGTACAGGTATGGGCCCGCTCAAGTGGAGCTCCAGGCAGTAGGGAGTTCTGCCCTCAAGCAGGCAGCACACAGGAGGGCAGAAGCCCCTCCTAAGGGTATGACAAACTTGGCTCCAATTCATGATTTCAGTTTCTGACACAAATACAGCATTTAGTGAAGGGAATAAATCAGGTATCTGAGAGCTTGCACAGAGGTTTTCTAGCAAAACAAAAAGCACCTATAGGCTACTTGATGTTAGTGTGAAGAAGATTCTCAAGAAGACAACCATTCTACTGATTGAGGGGGGCCAGGTGGGTGGGCAGAGGGCAGAGCCTGAGTTGAGAGAACTAGGAAAACAAAAACAGTACAACAAAAAACTGCTCAGCCATGTAACATCCACACTGGAGTCCTGTTTGCTCATTCTGGTGTGGAACTCAGGGCCCCCGTAAGGGAATGAGATGACTTTAGGACATTTGCCTGCCTCAGTGGAAGCAGGGGAGGTAAAGGTTTAAGGTGGCGGTACAGACTGTAGGGCTCAGAGTCTGAACTCCCTCGAGGAGGGGACCGAGAGGTCTCTTTAGTATGAGGCACACAAGAGTACAGAGCCCAGAAGAGCTCTGCTTAATATTCATATACCAAGCTTCCGCAGACTAAATACACACACGCGCACACACACACACACACACACACACACACTAAGCTTCCACAGACTAAATACACACAAAATAAGCTTTCATAGACTAAATACACACACACACACAAATAAGCTTCCACAAACTAAACACACACACACACACACACACAGTTTACTTCTCAAATCATGTACCACTTTCTACCAGATTCAAGAACATTCACAAGTACTAGTGGGTAAACAACTGTTAAGAAAAAGCTTGACTCCCTCATTAGTTATAATATACAAGTCTCCCCATTTTCTTACCTGTAAGATAGGGTAACAGGCTGGGAAGCAGACAAGGCCCCTGATCAGCCTAGCATCTTACCTGATAAGTACAAGGTTCTTAATCATCTTCCTTCCTCTCCCTCGTCCTAACAAAAAATATTAGGTTGCTGTCACATGCTATGGGTATACTTTAATTCAGTGCTTGTCAAACTTTAATGTGCAGTGCGATCAGCTGGGGGAATCCTGTTAAAATGCAGGTTCTGATTCAGTGGAGCTGGGGTGAAGACAGGAATTACGCATTCCTTACAGACTCCCAGGTTATGCTACACTGCTGGCTGGGGATCATTCTTTGACTGGCAAGAATTTAACACTAAATTCCATTACTTAACACAACCACCACACAAAAGCCCTCAAAAGGCATCACACAGTGTAGACAATGAGCCCTTCCACTTCAGCTTCTTGCAGCTACTGACCCTGCCAAGTGTCCCGCACTAGAGAGGTCAAGCATAATGGACACATCCTTTGGTCTTCGGAGGTTCACAACACCCTCCTACAGGAAGATCTTGGCAATTGTCTCCTCACCTCTTCTGGCTTTTTGATCTTACCTTTTGCCTCTGATGATAATTACCCTTTAATTAGCACCCGCCACCTTGTCATCTAAATAATTATGGTAAGTGCAACCTGCACCTCTGCCAGAGATATTTAAACAAAATGATAAAAACAAGTTCCTAAACTGCCAATTAAAGAAAAGAGACAAAACTGACCCAAATAAAAGTCATGTGGATTCCACCCACAGTGGAAAACATGACTTGTTATTCATATAAACTGCAGAAGAAGTTGATTTATTTTGAAACAAGAAAAATACGGATTCAGTATTTGGGAAATTGGAAATGTCAGAATATAAATTCTGCAAACAGTCAGGTAGGCAAAACAATCCAACCACACTAAAATCCATCTTAAATTCCTACTGGGAAAGGTTGCAGGGTCTCTGAACTACTTTTCCTCTATTTGGAGTTTCCCCGATTATACCGGAGGGAGCTGGATAACTTCTGGGTGCAAATCATCCATTTGTGGAAGGGCGGGCTTTTCACTGAACGCAATTAATTTTCCAATTTCCCAGGTGGGTCTCCATTAACCGTCTAACAAACACCAAGGCTGTCCAAATGCGATGAATCATGCACCTCTCTTAGGGGGAACTGGTTGTGCTACTCTTTAGAACGCTGTTTTCCCATGGTAGCCTTAAAAAAAACTTCCCAATTTTCTGAATTAGGTAACACATTGAATGGGAAAAACCCTAAAAGGGTGTACAGCGAAAAATTAATACTCCTTCCTCCCGTCATCCACCACCTCCCTGTCCTCCCTAGAGGCAATCACTAGTTCACTTCTTTAAACTTTTTATTATGGAAAGTTTCAGATACACAAGTAGAGAGACTGTATGATGAGCGCATGTGTTCGCATCACTCAGAGTCAACAATGAAAAACGTCCTACCAGCTTGTTTATTCCTCTCCCCGTTTCCATAGGCGTATTTTACAGTTCTGACACCAGATCACTCTACCTGTCAACACATTAGGTTTAAAAAAAAAAAAAAAAGATTACCACATTACCGTTACCACACCCAGCAAGATTAATGATAATTGCTCAATACCATCCAATATTCTCGGGGCCACTTTTAATAGGCGAGGGATATACGCAGTTAAGAGTCGGAGGAAGGAGTGCAGGGCTGGAGGGGCGCGAAAAAGCGCGGGACGACGCTGCTCGCGCCCTCGGGTGTCCGGCGCCTCGCAGTCCCCGCCGTTGTCACCTGCGCCAGGCCAGAACCGGCCAGGCCAGATCGAGGGAGGCTCTGGACGACGCGCTCCCTGCCTCTCCGCTCCTGGGCGACGGCCCCTGCAGGCCCGGCACAGCTGCACAACCCGCGGTCCCCAGACACCGGCGGGTCCCCGGAGGGGAAGCGATTGATACAGCTGCCTGCACTGCGCCCCCGGCCCGGCCGCCTATCCCCGTGGCACCTGCGTCTCCTGGCGGGGCCAGGAGCTAGCATTGGGTCCAGAGCCCAGGAGGGCCAGGCCTGTCGCCCGCTCCAGCTCCCGCGCCAGCGCCTGGACCTCGGCTCTGCAACCTCGCGGACCTGGACTACAACTCCCGTCGGGCCCCGCGGCCGGGCCAATGGCGGGCTCCGGAGCATGCAGGGCGCAGCGCCTGCGCGGCGGTTTGAGTAAACGGCTGCGCGATTGGCTGCGGGGTCAGGCGGCCGCGCGGGGACTGGGGGAAGCGGAGTGACGGAACGAGCGAGCGGCTGTTGGAGGAAGGAGGTGGGGGCCGGGAGCGCAAGTGGCGTTGAGATGGTCAGGGCCCTGTTCAAACTCCAGCGCTGACCATTCACCGGCGGAAGCGGCGGCGGCCAAGCGGGGGCACGTAGCGGACTCCGGCACCAGCTCCGGCGGCGGCGGCCAGCGAGAGCTAGGCCCGGGCCCGGCGGGCGGTACTCGAGGCGGGGAGGGAAGTTGCGGGGCCGCCGCTCCTCCACCCCACCGGGCTTCCTACTTACCGAAAGCAGAGCCCCTCGCCTCTCGTCTCTCACCAGCCGGTCCTGCTCTCCCGCGCGGGGGTTTCGCGCCTGCCTGCGGGCCGCAGGGAGCGGGAGAGGCAGTGTCGGAGGCGGTCCGTAGCCAAAGCACCCGCCAGGCGCCGAGGGTAAGTGAGGTGTCGGGCGGCTGTCTAGGCCGGGAGGGCGCCGGGAGGGTGGGGGAGGCAGAGGCTGGGAGCGGGCGATGGAAGTCTCATTGCCTCGCCCACCTGGCCGCTGAGGAACTTGGGCAGGGGAACGACCTGAAGAACTCTTTTTTTCCACTTTTATTTTCCTTTTTCGGAGATCTTTTTCGGGCTACTGCAGATTGACTTAGCTCCCTAAACCCAGTCAACTGTGTTGATTTCAGCCCCGAGTCCTTTCTAGAGGTTTAATCCGCCCCTGGCTGCCACTGGCGCCTTGCACTGCCCTAGGGATTCGGTGGCAGAAGCTTCCGGGGCGTCGGAAGCGACCTCCCTTTCCTGGGCGGCGCGGGTGGGGAGGAGAAAAGTTGGTGAGTGTCCAGCCAGAGGGGGCCGCCGCGCCCACTACCGGCCGCTCCCAGGTGAGGATTTCTGGGTGGTAAGGTTTGTCCCGTCTTCTTTTCTTCCTTAATGGATGCCCCTAGAGCCTTTGGGGACCGGGAGGACGCTAGATTCGGATTGGAGTGAAGTGTAAATTTTTTTTTTTTTTTAAATCACAGCGCACTTCCCTCAAAATTCGACCTGATTTTGGGCTAGGGCAAAAGCCCAACGAGCGAAAAGACTTAGTCGTGAATCATTCTTTACTTTTTTTTTTTTTTTGGGGGGGTGGAGGAAGGCAGGAAGGAAGGGAATAAGGATGGTAGGGAGGAAGGAAGGGATGAAGGAAGGAAGGAAGGAAGGGAGAAAGCGGGGAGGGAGGGAGCGAGGGAGGGAGGGAAGGGAAGAAAGGAAATCAAGCAATGAAAGAGACATTGCTGACCTGGATCTAGAGGTTTACAAGTTGATTTCTTTTTTTTTTTGAGAGAAGGAAAGAAAAAAAAAGTAAAGGAGAGGAAGAAAGAGGAAGAGTAAATGGAAATATTGCTTTATTTTGAAAAAAATTGGGTATTAATAATGGCCAATCAATGTTTCATTTAAACTAATGGGTAGGTGTGATGTGGTATTGACAAGAATGTATATTTTGTGTATTTGAAGTGGAGAGCTCTATAAATATTAAGTTTACTTGTTCTGGATCTGAGTTCGAGTCCTTGATATCCTTATTAATTTTCTGTCTCATTGAATCTAAGTCTCCTATCTGGGTGTTAGGATCGTTAGCTCTTGTTGTTGCATTGATCCTTTTACCACTATATCTTTGTTGCTTTAAAATCTATTTTATCCGATACAAGAAATGCAACTCCTGCTTTTTATTTATTTATTATTTATTTTTGCTCTCCATTTGGTTGGTAAATCTTTCTCCATCCCTTTGTTTTGAGTCTTTGTGTATCCTTGCATGTGAAACAGGTCTGGATGTAACATGCCGTTGGGTTTTGGCTGTGTCTTTTGACTGGGAATTCAGTCAATTTAAATTTAGGGTTACTGCCATTTGATGTTGACTGGCTGTTTTATCCATTCGTTGGTGTAAATTCTTCTTTATGTTGGTGCTCTTTACTTTTTGGTGTATTTTTAGAAAGGCTAATACTGGTTGTTTCTTTCTGTGTGTAATGCTTCTTTCAGAAGCTCTTGTAAAGCAGGCCTGGTGGTAATAAAATCTCTGAGTTCTTGCGTGTTCATAAAAGATTTTATTTTTCCTTCAGTTGTGAAGCTTAGTTTGGCTGGATATGAAACTCTGGGCTGAAGGTTCTGTTCTTTGAGGATGTTGAATATTGGCCCCCACTCTCTTCTGGCCTGTAGAGTTTCTGCCGAGAGATCTGCTGTAAGTCTGATAGGCTTGCCTTTGTGGGTAATCTGACCTTTCTCTCTGGCTGCCCTTAGTATCCTCTCCTTCGTTTCAACCCTGGTGAATCTAACGATTATGTGCCTTGGGGTTGCTCTTCTTGAGGAATATCTTTGTGGTGTTCTCTGTATTACCCGGGGTTGAATGTTGACCTGCTTTGCTAGTTTAGGAAAATTTTCCTGAATAATATCCTGAAGGGTATTTTCCAGCTTGGATTCATTCTCTCCGTCGCATTCAGGTACACCTATCAAACGTAAACTTGGTCTTTTCACATAGTCCCACATTTCTTGGAGACTTTGCTCATTCCTTTTTATCCTTTTTTCTCTAATCTTTTCTTCACGTTTTATTTCATTAAGTTGGACTTTGACCTCTGATATCTCTTCTGCTTGAACAATTCGAGTGTTTAAACCTGTGCATACTTCTCGGAGTTCCTGTATTGTATTCTTCAGTTCCATTAATTCACTCATACTCCTCTCTAAGTTGTCTATTCTCAATAGGATTTCATCAAACCTTTTTTCAAAGTTCCTAGTTTCTTTACGTTGGGCTACAACATGTTCTTTTAACTCACCGAAGTTTGTTATTATCCATTCCTTGAGGAGTGATTCTGTCATCAGGAGGCGCTCCTTCTCCATCAAGCCTTGTTCCGTTGTTGATGTGGAACTGTGATCATCTTTAGAGGGAGAGGCGTTCTGACTTTGAGTATTCTCAGCTTTTATACGCTGGTTTCTTCCCGTCATTGTAAATTTATCCTCCTGTCGTCTTTGAAATTACCAACTTTCAGATTAGGTCTCTTGAGTGGACGTCCAGGTTGTTAGTTCCCAGGGCCAGAGCAGCGGCGTTAAAACTGATGGTGCTTTTCTGCCCAGGATTCTCCTGTCTGGCTTCCTGCTTGTGTCCGTAGTAGGCGACTCTGCCTTCCCGGGGCTCCAAACCTCGGTCAGAAGGGGAACCGGTCCCGTTTACTCTGCGCCGAGCGCTGCTGCGTCGAGGTGCCGGCGGAACCGCTGCGCCGACCACGAGAGTCACGCTGGCGACTCATGTGTTTCCACCACTGGGGGATCTTCTGCTCCTTGAGCGACCAGACTTTGTCTGAAAGTGTGGCGTCCTCTAGTTCTCCGCGCCTTCCCTGAGAGCTGCAATCCCGTGATGTTAGCGATCGGCCATCTTGGATCGTTCTCCCATTCTTTCCTTTTTAGTTAGGACAGTTTTTGGAGTTTAAAGGTTGAGCAAGATTGGTACTTGAAACACTTAAATTTTTACTTCAAAAACGTCTGCACACTTATTTTGGAATCTATAGTGCTTTAAGCTTAGATAATGCCGTTGCAACAGTGTGCTGACTTAAAGACATTTTATTGTGGGAAACGATAAAGGCAATCAGGTGGAGATATTATATAATGAACTCTTCTGTACCCATTTCTTGGATTCAGCAGCTACTATTAAATTTATTTCATCTATACACTTCTCATTCCTTAATGTTGGAAAATCGCTGATGTTATTTCATCTGTATTTCAGTATGTATTTGTAAAAGATGTAGTCTTTTAGCACAAAATTTCTATTATTTTTTGAGACAGAGTTTCACTCTTGTTGCCCAGGCTAGAGTGCAGCGGCGCCATCTGGGCTCACCGCAACCTCCACCTCCCAGGTTCAAGCGATTCTCCTGCCTCAGCCTCCCTAGTAGCTGGGATTGCAGGCATGCACCACCACACCCGGCTAATTTTGTGTTTTTAGTAGAGATGGGGTTTCTCCATGTTGTTCAGGCTGGTCTGGAACTCCCGACCTCAGGTGATCCTTCTGCTTTGGCCTCCCAGAGTGCTGGGATTACAGGGGTGAGCCACCGTGCCGGGCCATCACAAAATTATTTCTCATCACATAAAATAATTAAGTCCTTACTGTTGTGGTGTATTCATCTGCAGACTTTAAACTTGGTCAGGAGTGAATGCTTTGTGGTTCTAGAACCATTTTTATAATGAGTTTTTCTGATATTGGCATAAAGGAACTCAAGTCTAGGTTTTTGGTTTGGCCTTTGGTGTTTTTAGATGATTACCATGTAAGTGTATCCAAAGTATTCTAGTTAGCTTCCTTGGTGTATATGTAAGTACACTTACAGACCTGCAGGATCTCAGCTTTACGTTTTTTTTTTTTTTTTTAAAGAGATAGGGTTTCACCATGTTGGTCAGGAGGCTGGTCTCGAACTCCTAACCTTGTGATCTGCCCACCTTGGCCTCCCAAAGTGCTGGGATTACAGGCGTGAGCCACGGTGCCCAGCCCAGCTTTGCATTCTTAAAGGAATCAAGATAATTGACTTTTATTTTGTTGTCTGTGGTAGTTGTCCAGTATTCTGTTGTGTTTTAGGCTGTACTTAACAAGAAAGACAGTAAGACTTGTTAGTGTCAGAGCTGCAGTAGAAGATGAAATAGATCTCCTTCAGGAACACTGTTTTAACACAGATGTATGATGACTAAATTGTTTTGTCAAATAAAATTGGCTTCTCACAAAGGGGGGATGGGGCGGGGCACGGATCACTACTGATTTTATATAAAACTCAGACAGTGACTCATTATAAGTTGTAGAAATTTAAGTTAAGGGAAAATAAGTATAGGTCAAAACATTCAAAAGAATAGTTCAAATATTTCAATTCTTGTAGGTTTCAAATTAATGAAGATTTTTCAAGCCCTTAGGCCTTTGTTCAGTTTTTAAAGTTATATTCGATGTGTTGATGTTTGTACTGTAGAAAGGTCAAAGTGTATGAAACTGATAAGGATTAATAATGTTTAAAAAGTACTGTAATTTTTTTTAACGGGCACAGAACCAATGCAAGTACCTTGTTTTAAAAAGATGTTTGACTCTTGATTTACTGCCCTCAAGATTTTTTTTTTGTCCTGTGACGTAGCTAAATCAGGTGAATCAATTTGTCATTTATAAATTCAAGAGTGAAATAAAGGTTATATGTTTCTATTCCTGTATGAAACAGGGTAATATGCTGGAGCTCACAAGCTCCAGAAAATGTAACTCAGCAAATGAGCACAGCACTATCAGGACAAGGCAGATAGGATAAGGATAGTTTCTTTCCCTTAGAGAGCTGAACATCTAAGGAATATTTTTTTAAGTCACAGCCCAAATTACATTGCACCAACAAGCGTAATCTTTAAGATTGGGTTAAAAGCTGCAGATTGTAAAACATGAGAAAAAGCACCATTTTGGGGACCTTTTTTCTCATGAATTAGTGCTATGAAATTTCAAAATACTAAATTTAATAAATTATTGGATATTTCTGGGATCCTGAAAAAAATTAACATTCTGTGCTTAAGATTTTCTATTAGAGGTAATTACCCTATATGGGTTACTATATTAATATTATTATAGTTATTGGTGTGATCTCACTTCCCTGCAACCTCCATCTCCCAGCTTCAAGTAATTCTCCTGCCTCATCCTCCCAAGTAGCTGGGATCAAAAGCATGTGCTACCACTCCCAGCTAATTTTTTTTTTTTAAGTTTTTTTAGACTTGTCAGGCTAGAGTGCAGTGGCATAATCTTGGCTCACTGCAACCTCCATCTCTTGAGTTCAAGTGATTCTCCTGCCCCAGCCTCTCAAGTAGCTTGGATTACAGGAGCCTACCACTGCGTCCGGCTAATTTTTGTATTTTTAGTAGAGACAGGTTTTCACCACCTTGGCCAGGCTGGTTTCTAACTCCTGACCTCGTGATCCACCTGCCTCAGCCTCCCAAAGTGCTGGGATTACATGTGTGAGCAACCATGCCCAGCCAAATTTTTGTATTTTTAGTAGAGATGAGGTTTTACCATGCTGGCCAGGCTGGTCTCAAACTCCTGACCTCAAGTCATCTGCCCTCCTTGGCCTCCCAAAGTACTAGGATTACAGGTCTGAGTGTAATCTGTATAGAGCACGCAGCCTCTATACAGATTGTTATTATTTTTTTGAGATGGAGTCTCGCTGTGTCGCCAGGCTGGAGTGCAGTGGCATGATCTCGGCTCACTGCAACCTCTGCCTTCCGGGTTCAAGTGATTCTCCTGCCTCAGCCTCGTGAGTAGCTGGGACTACAGGTGTGCGCCACCACGCCCAGCTAATTTTGTTTTTTTTTTTTTTTTTTTTTTTTTTTTTTTTAGACAAAGTCTTTTTTTGTCACCAGGCACCAGGCTGGAGTGCAGTGGTGTGATCTCGGCTCACTGCAACCTCCATCTCCCAGGTTCAAGCAGTTCTCCTGCCTTAGTCGCCCAAGTAGCTGGAGTCACCACGCCCAGCTAATTTTTGTATTTTTTTAGTAGATACGGGGTTTCACCATGTTGGCCAGGCTGGGCTCGAACTCCTGACCTTTTGATGCGCCTGCCTCGGCCTCCCAAAGTGCTGGGATTACAGGCCTGAGCCACCGTGCCCAGCCTATATAGATCAAGGTATAAATGATGTTTATAAGAATAGTAAGTTGATTCATTTTTAACTTAAAAATACATTTTAAGTTAGCTTTGTGGATACCGTATTATGTTCGTTAATAATTAAGTTTTTTACTTCATAAAGCATAGGAATATACTCATCATAGAGGAAAATTGACATGGAAGCATTTAGAGTAATAAATCAGCCTTTCTTTATACCCCTTCCTCATATTTGTTTATTTAAAAGTCTGTATGGTGAGTGTGACAAAATTATGAGGGGGAAAATCCCTAGGTTTTTATTTTTGTATGCACCGTTTAACACTTGTTAAGTATTTGATGATTATATATATTTTTTAATTTTTTTTTTCACAGAGAATATGAAACTGGTGTCAAAATGACATCCAGATTTGGGAAAACATACAGTAGGAAAGGTAGAAATGGCAGTTCAAAATTTGATGAAGTCTTTTCCAACAAACGGACCACCCTTAGCACAAAATGGGGAGAGACCACATTTAAGGCTAAATTAGGGCAGAAGAGGCCCAATTTCAAACCAGATATCCAAGAAATTCCAAAGAAACCTAAAGTGGAAGAAGAAAATACTGGAGATCCTTTTGGATTTGATAGTGATGATGAGTCTCTACCAGTTTCTTCAAAGAATTTAGCCCAGGGTAAGGGTTCTTATTCAGAATCCAGTGAAGCTGCTCAGCTGGAAGAAGTCACTTCAGTACTTGAAGCTAATAGCAAAATTAGTCATGTGGTGGTTGAAGACACTGTTGTATCTGATAAATGCTTCCCTTTGGAGGACACTTCGCTTGGGAAAGAAAAGAGCACTAACCGAATCATAGAAGATGATGCAAGCATAAGTAGCTGTAATAAATTAATAACTTCAGGTAAGTTTTGATTTTCTTTATTAGCCAAGAGAGATTTGTGCAAGCAATTTATTTAAATGATTTAAATTCTAAAATATATATTGTTCGGCTGCACGCAGTGGCTGCAGTGCTTTGGGAGGCCAAGGTGGGTGGATCATGAGGTCAGGAGTTTGAGACCAGCCTGACCAACATGGGGAAACCCCATCTTTCTTTTTTTTTTGAGACAAAGTCTCACTCTGTCATCAGGCGCCAGGCTGTAGTGCAGTGGCATGATCTTGGCTCATTGCAACCTCCACCTCCCAGGTTCAAGCAGTTCTCCTGCCTCAGCCTCCTGAGTAGCTGGGACTACAGGCGTGTGCCACCACGCCGAGCTAATTTTTGTATTTTTTTAGTAGAGACGGGGTTTCACTGTGTTGGCCAGAATGGTCTCAATCTCTTGACCTCGTGATCCACCCATCTCAGCCTCCCAAAGTGCTGGGATTAAAGGCATGAGCCATCATGCCTGGCCAAACCCCATCTCTACTAAAAATACAAAAAATAGCTGGTCGTCGTAGTGCGCACCTATAATCCCAGCTACTCAGGAGGCTATGGCAGGAGAATCGCTTGAACCTGGGAGGTGGAGGTTGCAGTGAGCTGAGATTGTGCCACTGCACTCCAACCTGGCGCCTGCTGACAGAGCGTGAGTGATAGTGAGACTCTTTCTAAAAAAAAAAAGTATATATATATTGTGTTTTTTCCTGCACTTAGGATAAATGGGGACTAATGATAGTTTTGTAAAAGACATTTAACAACTAAAGAAACCAGTTAGAGGTTGGAATATTTAATAAAACAACTTGGATATTAATGTTTAAAGACTGTTAACTTGGTGTACATATTGGGAACAGCAGTAAGTTTCTAACCCCAATTCCAGTAAGAAATATCTCTTTTTGTTGTGTTAGGATCACAAAGTATCTCATTTCTATTATTATGGAGGATTTGGATGGTTATTGATGATGAGAATGAGATGAATATTCAAAATGAGGATTAGTTAAGAATAGTAGACTCTCTTCCAAAACTAGTTCAGAAAGATTAAGGAGGTATTGAGTGTAGACGTTAAAGAATTGAACTTGATTCCAAATTGAAATTAGTTTGGCGGCAGCAGCAATTTGTATTGATAAATTTTAAACCACAAAACTGATTTTAAATTGCTAATTTGTAAAAATAGCATCTAGTATTCTCTCCTAAAACAAAATATTTTGTTCGTTCTGTCCTACTCCTGTAAAGGATTTGAGACTTAAGTGAAAAGTGCAATTAACTAAAAGACTGAAGAGCTAATATTGAGGGTGTTAGGGAAGAGGTGGGGGAGAGAAGTGGGAGCACTCTATCAGCTGTAGGACAAGGGTGGCATTATAATGAAATTGAAAAGAAACCTTAGTTCTTGACTTCTTGGCAAAGTTTAGCAATAATAAAAGGTTATAAGAATCTCAAAGTTTGAAAGGAAGTAAACAGAAACACAAAACTTTACTGAATTTTTAAGGGGAATTTGTCCATTGAAGGTTTAATGTAAGCACGTCAAACAGTACAGTGTGCTGGGCCTTGCATAGTTTTAATGCTGAGCATTTTTTCACTCTTTTTCTCACTCTTGGATGAGATGGTGAGCCAGCTGTTACTGTCATTCTCTTGATCCTCAGGGTTAATTCTAATTTGGCTGTTCCTACTGCTTTGTCTACATTTCTCCTTAGGCATTGTTCACAAGTTTAGGTTAAATTTGCATTAAAAAGCAGCAAAAAGGGCCAGGTGTCTGTAATGCCAGAATTTTGGGAGGCCAAGTGAATCACCTGAGTTTAGGAGTTCAAGACCAGCCTGGCCAACCTGGTGAAACCCCATCTCTACTAAAAATACAAAAAATTAGTTGGGCGTGGTGGTGGGCTCCTGTAATCCCAGCTACTGGGGAGGCTGAGGCAGGAGAATCACTGGAACCTAGGAGGCATAGGTTGCAAAGAGCCGAGGTTGTGCCACTGCACTCAGTTGTGCAGCAGAGCAAGATGTCACCAAAAAAAAGAAAAAAAGCAGCCCAGCATAAAAACTTTCCAGGTCAGCTCCTAAAAATGTATTAAAAATCATCTTTTTTTTTTTTTTGAGATGGAGTCTTGCTCTGTTGCCCAGGCTGGAGTGCAGTGGCACAATCTCAGCTAATTGCAAACTCCGCCTTTCGGGTTCAAGTGATTCTCCTGCCTCAGCCTCCCCAGTAGCTGGAGTTACAGGCACCCACCATCATGCCTGGCTAATTTCTGTATTTTGTAGATACCGTATTATAAGTTGGTTAATAATTAAGTTTTTTACTTCATAAAGTGTAGAGACAGGTTTTTTTTTTTTGTTTTTTTTTTGTGAGACAGTTTTGCTCTTATTTCCCAGGCTGGAGTGCAATGGGACAATCTCGGCTCACTTTAACCTCTGCCTCCTGGGTTCAAGTGATTCTCCTGCCTCAGCTTCCTGAGTAGCTGGGATTGCAGGCATGTGCCACTGCCTGACTTAATATTGTACTTTTTTTTTTTTTGAGATGGAGTTTTGCTCTTGATACCCAGGCTGGAGTGCAATGGCGCGATCTTGGCTCACCGCAACCTCCGCCTCCTGGGTTCAAGCAATTCTCCTGCCTCAGCCTCCTGAATAGCTGGGACTACAGGCACACAACACTATGCCCAGCTAATCTTTGTATTTTTAGTAGAGACGGTGTTTCACCTTGCTGACCAGGATGGTCTCGATCTCTTGAGCTTGTGATCCACTCGCCTCGGCCTCCCAAAGTGCTGGGATTATAGGCATGAGCCACTGCGTCTAGCCAATATTGTACTTTTAGTAGAGATGGGGTTTCTCCATGTTGGTCAGGCTGGTCTTGAACTCATAACCTCAGGTGATCCACCTGCCTCGGCCTCCCAGAGTACTGGGATTACAGGAGTGAGCCATCGCACCTGGCCCATCAAACTTTTTTGAATGAAAGTGAATTTTAACTCAGGTCTCATACCTGAAGCTCAAAGAGGTTAAGTGTCTAAGGTCAGATAATGGCAGAATTGGAATGAGATTCGTTTATTGTCAACATATTATTGAGCACCTAATGTTTATCAAACCCCACCGTAATAGGCACTGCAAATGGTATTCTGCTTGTGTTTGTTGTTTCTACTGACGTTTCTTGCTGTTTTCAGATAATCTACAGTGTTGTGGGGTGGGTGGGCTGGAGGAAGTAAGATGAAGCTGTGCAGGTGGTGAAAATGCTCAAGGTTGACTCCAGCTTCCTTAAGTGTGTGGTCTTTTGAGGAATGGGGCATCATTGGCAGGCAGGGTCGCTGATGTCAGAGTGTATTAATAAAGATGAATGTTTAGGTGAGGGGGAAAAGGAATGTGAAAGTTAATCATGTAAGTAATTGTTAATGTAGCCTTGCTGACAGTATATCTTTGTGTTCATTCTGTTGGAAGTTTGGAAGTTGGCAGCTAAGTGGGATAATTGCTTCCCAGTCTATGTAGCTAAATTAGAGTTCCAATGCTGATAGAACTACTGACTCTTGAGTACAAACTCCATTTAAATTGGTTTGAGAGGAGAAAATACATACTAAAATACAGGTAAATAGATGTTCAAGAACATCTTGTTTTTCTTCCATCCTCCTTCACAAAGGCTCTCTTGGTGGTCAGGCAATGGTGTAGCACTATGAATATTTCTCTTTTTTTCTCCTCTCCCTTGGCCATCTAGAGTTGCAGCAACCTTGGCAGCTCCCTGTAGGATAAGAAGTGAACTTTGAGGGAGTACATTTAATTTTCATGGTAGTCTTATGCTGTCTCTAATGTGTGCAAGTTAGTTGTTCCTATAAACCATTTATAAGTTTGTATGTTTGTAAGTTGGTTTTAGTTGTGGGGATGCTTTTGTACTTTGTGACGTTTCCTTTGTCTCTCCCCTCTAAACATTGGTCATTTTCCTTGTGCCTAGACTGTTTTCTTGCATTATGTTGTCCATTTTCATTGCCTTTACTCTCACTCAGGAAGCCTTGTAATTTTAGTAGAAATTTAGAAACCCAAACCTAAATTTTTGATAAAAGAGGTCTTTGTAAATCTCAAGTGGTTCCTAACCTTTTTTGCATTAGGGTCCCTTCTGAGAATAATAAAGTTTTAAACTCTTTCTCCATGCAAGTACTCATGTACCTACTTAGGTCTCAGAAATCTTAGCAGTCTTTTGCAGGTCATGTTTAGGCATTTTATTTAAGAACTGGTTGCAAATTTTAACAACTTGTTCAAAGTGCACCGGTAAAGTTTCACCATATCCTTCCAGTGGAGTGTTGAGTGTCCCTGCTCATTCATACTATTTTTTGCTGTACAATTGTATCACATCAGTGAAAAGGGCTTATCCAGGCTCAGGAATATTGTATCATCTGTCCTGGCATTATGTTTTTAAGTATCTTTCTCTATAGGGGAATATGTGGTTGATTTTTTTTTTTTTTTTGACACTTAAAATTCTTTAAGTACTTTTATAATGGATAGTACTTTTTTTTTTTTGAGACGGAATTTCGCTGTTGTTACCCAGACTGGAATGCAATGGCACAATCTCGGCTTACCACAACCTCTGCCTCCTGGGTTCAAGCAATTCTCCTGCCTCAGCCTCCCGAGTAGCTGGGACTACAGGCGCACACCACCATGCCCAGCTAATTTTTGTATTTTTAGTAGAGACGGTGTTTCACCTTGTTGACCAGGATGGTCTCGATCTCTTGACCTCGTGATCCACCCGCCTTGGCCTCCCAAAGTGCTGAGATTAAGGCTTGAGCCACCATGCCTGGCAATGGATAGTACTTTTAAAAATTGTGTTTCACTCGAAGAGGAAACTCAGGTTGAGTAGTTCACTATAAAACATACAATGGGCCGGGCGCGGTGGCTCAAGCCTGTAATCCCAGCACTTTGGGAGGCCGAGGCGGGTGGATCACGAGGTCAAGAGATCGAGACCATCCTGGTCAACATGGTGAGACCCCGTCTCTACTAAAAATACAAAAAATTAGCTGGGCATGGTG